GTGTGTGTGTGTGTGTGTGTGTGTGTGTGTGTGTGTGTGTGTGTGTGTGGTGTGTGTGTGTGTGTAGGAGTGGGCATTACACAATCCTCTGTTTGGAAGAAACCCGGGCCTGTTCAGTCACCTGATTTAAATTCATCACAGGCCATTCTACTGATTCTACTGCACCGCCGTGGGCGCACTGACATCACACACTCACACACACACACACACACACACACACACAGACACACAAAAGACCCCACAGACAGAAAACACGGACAAAGTGAGTGCTCACATCGCTGCACAGTTTATCATTAAAACACAGAAACATCGTCATGAGTCGTTATTTTCTGTACAACTTTTACACCATCTCTGCAGACTTTGCGCAGTTTTAGCTGTTCATAAAACGTTCGGCTCATTCAGGAGGTGGAAGCTGGGACTTGTGTTTTTTTTTAAGCTTTTAGACTTTTCAAGATATTTAAATCAAATCTTTCCCCTCAGAAACGCATCAATATCTCTTCAGTTCGTTGAAAAACTTTGTTCTGTTTGAAATCTGTTTCAGCTACTGGCTCTGATTCTGTCTTATGCTACTTTTAGCTTTTAGTTAGCATTTGGCTTATTTCAGCTAGCCTTAACATTTAGCTAATGTAGTGCTACTGCTAGCATTTTTACGTTTAGCTAACCTATTGGTAAATTAAGCTTTAAGCTGCTTTTGTGTTACTTTTAGTTTCTAGCTAGCATTTAATACTTTTAACTAGCATTTTGCTACATTTAGATTTTAACGTCTTGCTACTTTGACTTTAAGCTACCTGTTTGCTTCTTTTAGCAAACCTTTTACAACCTTTAGCCTTTTTCTTCTTATTTTTCTTTTGTATTTAGCTCATTTAAAATTTTTATTAGCCGTTAGCTTTTTTCAGCTAGAGTTCTACTTCTTTTAGCTTTTAGCTCATGCTCTGCTGCTTTAAGCTGTGAGCATGTGTTCTTTTAGCTCATGTTCTTATTTTGGTTTTTAGCTAGGGTTCTGCTTTCAGACACTGTTGCTACTTTAGCATGTCGCTAACCTTTTGCTACTTTCAGTATTTTGGGGACCTTTTGCTGCTTTTAGCTTTTGATTAGCCTTAGCTTGTTTAACTTTAAGTTAGTCTCCAAAATGTTTTTAGCTCAAATAACGCAGTTTCAATTTCTTCAGTGGGCTTCCTTCAGCTGAATCAATTTATATATTTTTTATGTATTTATTGTATTTGTATTTAATTGGTTTTGTTTTCTTTTTATATTTAAAGAGGAGAAACCTCTTAACATCTTGGAGCGTCTCTCTCTTCCTGAACTTCCTTCTCGCAGCATCGACCAGTTTCAGTTCCTTTGATTTGGAGCAGAACATTTATTTATTTATTATTATAACAAATAAAAGGTACCTGTGCTGCACAACTAACACCAAGGAGGAGACACGATGAAGACCTGACCTGGCACGAGTACTCCACGATGCTCCCGTGAAGAAGACTTAACAAATGAGCGAGGGTAATGAAGGAAGTGTCTGCAGCTGTGGCAGGTGAGACAGGGAACAGGTGGAGATGGGCGTGGCTGACCCCACCCACCCCCCACGGCTCTTAAAACTCAGATGTTTCTGGTCTTTCAGATTATAATCTAAACCTCTGTCAGACTGCAGCGAGGACACGTGGCGTCACACGCAGCTCGCCGTGTTTCCAGAAGGAAACATGGCTCAGATTGTGTCAGGATCCGTGTCTTTGTAAGTTTTTAGTATTTTTGTTTTGTTTTGCGTAGGGTTCAGTTCACTTGTTTCCATTGTTTCTGTGTTCGTCCTGTGTTTTCCCTCTGCTCCTGCGCCGCGCACCTGCTCCTTGTCGTCTCCTCACCACACGTCTTACGTTTACTGACTGAAATGAAAACAGAGCTGAGCTCGAGAATGACAGAACACGGAAAATAACCCGTTCCCACCAAAAACGAGTCAACCCGACAATAAACGCAGCGAAGCCTGAGAGATGGAGCTGCAGAGAGGCAGCAGGGGGGTCAAGAGAAGTCCCTGCTGCCTGGGGCGGTGGGTCAGCGGTTGTCCTGCAGAAGTGCAGAACAAAAGTCTGAAGAAGACCGAAGTTCTTTTGTGCTCTCTCTGCTCGGAGGCCGGAGGACAAAAAGGAGAGCCGCAGCATCTTCTTGGAGGTAAAGAGGAACTCCAGCAGCAGATTTCTGCTCTGTAATCTTAATTTCTCTCATTTCTCAGGTGGTTTGTCCTGAGCTGCGGAACATTTTTAAACTTTTAATCCGACAGCTTCAGCTTCAGCTTGACTTGTAGACGAAGAAACACCTCAGCACAGATTTGATCCTCTCTCTCAACAAGGTGACATTTTCTGAACGCTTCAGAAACATCACGACAAACGAGAACAGAAGGCCCAGCATTCCTTGAATGCATGTCGCCCGCCGCCTTTCAATCCTGTGCTGAGGGAGAAGGTCTCATCAGATCGAGCTCAGACTGTGAGTTAGACGATGATGATCACAGGGAGCATTTTTATTCATTTAAATAAGAAATGTGTTTTGTGTAAAGTGTAAAAGGCATCAAACATTAACTGATCGTTTGACTTTTAGATATTTTATTTAGATCCAGGGCTCAGATTACTAGGCCCAGGTTCTAGGGACCTGGTCCCAGAGACCTGGTCCCAGAGACCTGGTCCCAGAGCAGTTGTTGGTGTTTAAGAAGCAGAAGAGTCTCGGTGAGAAGCGTCAGAGTTCTCGTGGCCTCCAAACACAGTCGACTGTTTCAGCGCTTCACATTCTTCAGCTGGTCTGTGGGCGGTGAGCGGACTGACAGAGTCCTTTATGAAGAACGAGAACATTCAACAAGGACGGGGACAAAACCAGACAGGGGGATATTTGTCCTCATTCATAAAAAAGGTTTATGAAAAACAAAAAAGAACGTAAACAAATGGTCCAAAACTTGAGTTATTAATGAACAGGTATTGTTTTAACAAATGAAACCAGTGCTTCTTAAAGGAATGCATATCGCCCGCTGCCTGGCATGCTGAAGTGCTCGGGGCGTGTGTTGGAGACGACTCTCAGCTACTACCACAGCAGATTTTAGCTCAATGTCTGGAACTTTGACCATCAGAGTTTTAGCTGTTTTTGTGTTTGATTAGCTGTGGTGGCCATCTTGACTCAACGTGAATCAGTTGTACATCCAGAGATTATCTGGAGGGTCTTGTTAGCATCCATCTTGTGGTTCACGAGTTATTTTGCTAACAGACAGAGAAACACAAACAGTGATGTGTGATATTCAATAATCTGGAACAGTTTTATATTTTCCTAACACTGCAACAATCAAACCTGGTGAAATACTAGGCTGATCTGTCTCCTCTGGAGCAGAGTGAAGACGCTCGCAGGCACGTTTCTTCCTTTTCAGGCCACGGGGGGGAGGGGCGGGGTCACTGTGTCCATGTCCAGCTACCACTGTGAGAGAGTGGGGGACACCCTGGACAGGTCTCCAGCACATGGACACCTGGACAGGTCTCAGTTCATCACAGGGACACATGGACTGGTCTCCAGTCTATCACAGGGACACGTGGACATGTCT